GTAATGTAAATTTGTTGAGTTTAAGTATTTGTACTACTAATATGACAGACTCTTTTATTATTTGTCCGCTCACAAAAGGCATGCCTAAGCGGTACCATGAGCAGAAGAAGTTAACGTTAATGTTAAATCGTTAAGGAAATGAAGTATGAGACAGGGAAAGGAAATTCCAGAGATGGGCAGTACGGCACCAAAAAGAAGCTCTATATTTAGAGGTTTTCGTAGTAGGGGCATCCTTTGAAGTAAGCAGCATGTTCACCGTCGCAGTTTGCATATTTAAGGAGAACCTCCTCTTCATTCACTCCTCTGCGTCAGGCATTTTCTAGTCTTATGGCAGTTCTGTGAGCCATGTCCAAATGCTTGGCATCTATAGCATTATGAGTAGTCATTATTTTATTTTTTTCCGGAAGGTTTCCCATTTAATTAGGGTATGGTCCACACTTCTAATTTTTTAAATCTGTCCAATATTGGTCTGCTTGTTGGCCGTAACTAAATATGGGTGGCTGCCATTCCTGCCTCTCATTGGAACACAATCTACGATGTGTTCGTTGGATTCTTTGAGGGCCGTAACTATCTCAACTGTGTCCATGTTAGGGGGCTCTTCTGGTGCCTTTGATTTCTTGGTGAAAATGTGTAATATTGAATCGATTCATCCAATTCCAGGAAGGTCTTTAGTAATGGTGGGAGCCGACCTAGGCAGTGTAGTGGTTAGTGTATTTGCTTCGTATACTACAGTTCCTGAGTTCGAATCCCGGCTCGGGGATAGTTGTTTGTGGTTTCTAACCGGCTCATGGCCTGGCGAGAGGATGTGGAAGGACTTTCTCAGGCTTGCGTGATGTCCGTGAAGTCTGAATGGCTGAGCATGGATTGCGAATCGGACCATCTTAGAGTGGGAGATGCATGATATGGCCGACCATTTAGACTTTGGTATGAATGGGAAGGAGTAGAGTCCATGCAAATGATGTACAATAAGCCACAATGAGCTTCAGTGCAGAGCATGTGCTCGAAAGGGTGACGAAAAAAAAATGTGTGGTGGTTATGATACTCAGTGGAGATTTTGGTATTATGAGGCAAATATCTGATGTCAAAAGGTGATTCCTTAAGGATATTCTTGATTTCAGCCTTGAATTTTAGGAATTCAACCTCTGATGTGATTATTATGGGCGGGGGTTTGGGTGCTGTCGTAGCGGAGGGTGGTTGGTATGTTTCCATAGCGTCCTCAATTGCCAGCGCTGCGAAACGATTCTGGGTCTGAACATATGATTTTGGGAAGATGCTTTCTGCACCTTTATCTACGGTATATTGCTTGGATCCCCCAGCGATAGGGCTCCGGCTACGTGATCGCATTCTCGATTCTCTAGTTTCCCAGTTTGAGTTGGAATTCGGATTAAGTGGGGCTTGGATCCCTAATTTCCCTTCTAGTGATGGCTTTGCTGACTTGGAATGACGTTCTTCCCGAACCATCTGGGCTTCATGTTTGATTTCTTTCTGGGGGGCTCATCCATGGTACGCGAACTTGTATTGAACGATCCTGGCCACTTTTAATGTGCCCCAAGCCGCTCAGAGGGCGCGCATGTTCATCGCTGGTAATCGATTTTAGTGAACGCCTTTGAATGTTGACGCTATCAGCTGTCATTCTGGTCGGTCGGTTGTCAAACAATTTTTAGTTTGTCAAACTTTTTATGAAACATTTTCATTAGTGGTAGTGTTTTTACTTCTACCCAGTTTTAGTTCAGGTAAGTTTTATCTTTATCATAGCGTCAATCCCATTGGTGATGAAATTGATGTGAAGACAAACAGAAAAAGTTGAATTATCTATATATATATATATAAAAATCAAAGTTCCAGGGGTATCCGGGTATGCGCTCCTACACCACTTATCCGATTACGATGAAACTTTGGTAGATTGTTATGGCCATCCTAAGGAAGGTTTGTGGATAGGTTACGCATCTCGGAAAAATAAATTAATTTTGAATTAATTATTAATTTAATTGTAAACAAACTCATTCACATTACATAACAACATAGCCCAACTTTTTTTTTGACAGTATGAAAGGTAACTGTGAAAGGTAAAAATTTGAAAATTTGGCAACATAGCAATGTCGATGGGGGACATCCAGGTAAAATATTTTCAAGATGGCGGCATTTCCGGTCATACCGGAAGTTGATACCAACTCGGTTATTTTAAATAGAACACCCCATATATTAATGTATTTTTGGATTCTACATAAAATTCTGAGCAGATTTCATGTAATATACCCTATACCTAAGTTCAACTGTTTTGGAAATATTGACAGTTGAAAATTGACTTTTTGCAACTTTGACAAGCTGTAAAACCTAATTGGTTAATTTTAGAGGAAAACCGATTTCACATTCCTATCTTAGATTTTGATAAACTATCATTTGACACCAACTTTGAACTTAAACGGAGATTAAATTTAACTGAAATTTTTAATCATGGATTTAATTCAAAGTTGATGTCAAATGATAGTTTATAAAAATCTAAGATAGGAATGTCAAATCGGGTTTCCTCTAAAATTAATTGTTCAGGTTTTACAGCCTGTCAAAGTTGCAAAAAGTCAATTTTCAACTGTCAATATTTCCAAAACAGTTGAACTTAGGGTATATTACATGAAATCTGCTCAGAATTTTATGTAGAATTCAAAAATACATTTATATACGGGGTGTTCTATTTAAAATAACCGAGTTGGTATCAACTTCCGGTATGACCGGAAATGCCGCCATCTTGAAAATATTTTACCTAGATGTCCCCCATCGACATTGCTATGTTGCCAAATTTTCAAATTTTTACCTTTCACAGTTTTCCCATAAGCAATCGATGTTATTCCCGAAGGACCACCCTGTATAGGCTGAATTCGATTGACCCAGATTAGATCGATTTGGGTTCAATTTAAGTGAACTTCTTCTGATCTAGATCATTTTTTGTTGATGAGAGTGCACTGATCCAGCCTCAATCGAACACACTGTGGTTCACTTAAATTGAACCAGATCGATCTAATCCGGTTAATCCAATTCGGCTAAAGAGGGTAGTGCTATAAGCTATTTTTTATCCCGGAAAAAAAAGTTCGGTTGCGCGAAACTCTGATACACTGGAACGCCTATAAACAACCCGGGGCGCTCTAGAACAGCTCTGGAGTGCTTAAAATGCGTCACTGAACTCACTGGCAAGCGACTCTGGTATCGGATAAAAAAAAAAAAAATAATTAAATAGAAAATCAACAACAAAATTTGAAAAAAAGTGTATTATTTCAAAATATATTTTCACGCTGGCAACGCAGCTGGTCATTAGCTAGTTATTAATATATGTACCTGAATAAAAATATTATAAGTCCAACGATTGACAGACACGAGTTTTATTTTTCTATCTTATCCAAAAAACGTTTTTGGCGTTGACTGGATCAGTCTTGGTTATTATATATTATATTTATCTCTAATAATGAGGGATAAATATAATAACTAATGTTAAATCTGATCAAGGCCTAAAAAGATCATCCATAAAGAAAGTTTCAAATTCAAATATCCCGCCATAATCATTTTACTTTGACCCAAGCCTATAGAGGCGCCACATATATAAACTTTTTTTTTAACATGGGAGTTACCATTCTATATCCCCACTTAAACCTTATTCTATGGGCTCATCGAGGCCTCAAAACAAGCATTGGAGGCGTGAATGGGGCTTGTGGACCAAAGCCCAAACCTAGGCCTGGCTCTATATACATGAGTACCAAGGGCTGGCTATCCTAGGTACTTGGTACTTGCTGAGTATTGGTTTAAACTGTACACTATTACACTTTTAGCCTAATTAAATTAGGCTAACACGGGTTTTTCCACACTTCTGGCAAACCGATTGTCTCTGAATTCTCGGAATAGTCAAAAATGAATTAACGCGGTCAGCTGTGATTTTCGTCAAGGGACCCTCGGCAGGTAGGAACCCTCCGTGAAAATCGGTTTGCGTCACGAAACTGGGCTTTCATGAAACTGGGTTTTTACGTCGCGATACTTGTCTTGGGTTTTTACGTCGCGGCACTTGACTTGGGTTTTTTCCTGACCTAGGTTTGGTGGGCTTCGGACTTCGAGGACCTGGGCTTGGTGGGCTTCGGCTTCGAGAGAACCTGGGCTTGGTAGCTTCCGACTTCGAGAGGACCTGGGCTTGGTGAGCTTCGGACTTCGGAACATCGGGCTTCGGATTTCGGAGGAGCTCTCTAGGAGTTGGTGACTCTTCGGCAGTTCAACTGTATAATAGAAAAAAACCAACCGAAGTTTCTTGCCCGCAGGCAAACTACAACCAGTACGATGGGATATTTTTGGTCGTGACGCCATCTATGACCAGCAAACAGTACTACAGCATTTTGACGCGTCTATGTGGATGGAAACACATTTTCATATTTTCAAACAGCATAATGCGGTTTAGTACTGTTTTCTAGTCATAGATGGCGCCTCGACCAAAAATCTTCCATTGTTGTTGATAGCTCTTCAAGAAAAACTTCTAGATCTTTGTCATGGCTAGTTGCGGTCGGGGAACTGAATCCTGAATACATTCAAAATCAAAATCTAATTACACAACCTTTAGTGAAATTTTTGTGAGAGGTTTGCATTGGTTTTGGGAGATTAAGTTTCTATTGTCGATCACTGATTTGTAAGCACCGCACCCAAACTCGTTTACACAAACTGCTTTGTAGCGCTTGAACAGCGAGTCCAACACAATAGAACAACTCACAAATATCTCTGTTCCAACAGACATGAGAACCGCTCTAGAACGGTAATTTCCAGTCGACCAATTCATTTGTCAATTAGGATAAACGTTCAACTTATTAAAAAATAGGTGGACAACTGGAAATGACTGATTCTGGAACGATTTTCATGTCTGATGGAACAGACCTTATGTCTGTATGCAGCTTCAGAACAAACCAGGCTGAAATTGACAGGTTTATATTCTAGTTTGACGCTTACTTGCCAAATTATTTGTCAAATTTGCCAACCAACGACATGACAGCTTCCAAATTAAATGAAAAATGTCTACAAGTCCATCGAATGTAGCTAAAGACAACGAACAGTTACCAATAGGCGACAAATCAAAATCATCCGATAAACGTAAGTTACTTCTCAGTCAATCCGAAGACAATCTCAGCCGTCAGCAAAATTCTAAAGATAAACGTCTTGGAAAAGTTAAATCTTTGATCTCGAAAGATCAGTTGAACAATCCAAGTGTTACTTTTGAACTAGACTTAGCCAGATCAATGTCTCAAACGACTGAATCAGACAGTTTGAGTTCAAACTTATCGAGAGCTCGCGATAGCTTGGAATATATTTTAAAAGATGAGCAAAATATGCCAAAATCGAGACTCGAAAAGTCAATTTTTCAACACAAACCGAAAAATATTCCCAATTCGCCAAAATCCTCGCCCCAACTAGGTCAAAATTCAAAGGCTACAACATCAAAATTACCCTTTTGGGACACATATGATCGTAAAGGCAAGAAGAACAAAAAGGATATTTCTAAAAACCAACAATCTCCGAGAAGTGAGGGTAATATTATATCAAAGAAGGACAAAAAATCTCTTGTGATTGATAAAGAAGCACATGGTAATCAGCCTGACGAAGCTAAAACTACTGACGAAGCAATGGGGGAAAGTTACAAATTCAAATACTTACCGAAAAATAGTAAAAGTGTTGTTTTCACCAACGAAGTGTTTGTGGTTTATTTCAATAACGAACATGTGATTGGCGAGGAAAAAGAACCGTTAAAAAAAGACGTGGAACAACAAACCAGGAACAGGGAAATGAGACGCGTTCATTTGACCAAATACAAAGAAAAACATAATTTATGTCTTTTCTAAATCAAAACTTTCGAAGTATACTTTTTAAATTATTGTTTTTGTTTTTTTCAATAAAAAAAAATCTTGACATTTTCTTTTTGTATAATTTAATATTCTTTTGTTGGTAGTTTGATATCTAAAAAGAGCTTTGAAGCAAAATGGTATAAAACTCGTTTCGATTTATTAAAAATTTAGTAGTTCTGCCATTTCCGTTATAAAGGGATTTTAATTAAGTGCTTTAAAATTGACCTCATTATAATTAACCTTTAGGAATATTTCTTGGAAATTAATTTTTATTTCAATGAGGAATCAATCAATATAATAAAAATATACTTTCTTGTCGAACCTCTGACTCATGTCTCTCGAGGCAATCGAGGTCCTTTCTTCTCGTGTGACTCCCGCAGGTCGTTGTTTACAGAAAGGTGCAGTGCGTGTGACTTTCGGGCTTACCGCAAAAACGCTGGGGTTTGCAGAGACGGCATCTAAATCAATTAGGGAACGAAGAAGGAGAGAGAGATAGGGCCAAAACAGGATGTTCAACTTCTGGAAACACGGAACGGTCCTGAGGGAGATGACCCTAGGGCCAATGTTATCTTTCCCGGTCGATTGGATTCTTGAACTACGACGGGAAATTCTTAGTGAAGTTGAATGGACTATGTTAGTATGAATTCAATCACACATGTACAGTTTTTGAATAATCATACAGTTTTGTATATTTTCGTATGGTTCTCCATTCGTAGGTCGATCGGGTGTACGCCACTGGTATTTTCCTGTTTCTGACTTACCCCTCAACCTTTCCATGTTAGTATGAGTTCAATCCTATGTACAGTTTTTGAATAATCATAGTTTCCTATGTATAGTTTTTGAAAAATCATACAGTTTTGTATATTTTCGTATGGTTCTCCATTCGTAAGTCGCCATTGGTATTTTCCTGTTTCTGACTTACCCCTCAACCTTTCCATGTTAGTTGAATTCAATCCTATGTACAGTTTTTGAATAATCATACTGTCACGCTTAGGTTGTTTGTGGTCAGCGGTGCCACCACTTTATCTAAAATTGGCTGCGTCGGCTAAGGGTTTATCCTGAAAAGAGGTTATATGGGGAAAGGAAAGATTTCACCACTAGTAGTTAATACATCTATTGTTGCACCCTAATTTATGTAGAAGATAGGGTTTACCAAAAATAGATCGCGGGAAAATGTTCTGCCCTGGTGGGCCATCATTTAACATTCTCTTGGAATGCCTATTTTTAGGGAAAGCCCTACGCTGTCAATACCCAAACAGTCCTATGAAAATGTACCCTCGAGGAGATTAGTTTCCATAGGTCTATGTTTGGGGCGTTAGATGGGGCTTCTACAGCATGACATTCATCTTAGGATCTCAGTCGTACTGTAGCAAGTCACACCCAACTTGGAGAGAAAGTGTTTATGCCTGTACCCTCGAGGAGCTTAAGGCTGTGGAGACTAACCCCTGCCTGACTGAATTACGGTGCGCGTAATTTATACAAGAACTATTGCTACCGTCAACAGAGTCAGTTAATTTTCTGTAGTACAAGCGCTAAATTCATTTTATTTCTATAGTCTGTGGGCTTGTAGACATTTATGAGTTGACATTTGCCCCCCCCTGTGAAAGCATTGGTCCCCAATGCCAGTGAAAGAACATTATGTGCTTACAATTAAGAGAAAAACTAAAAATTCTTGAAATTACAGCTTCTTTTCGTTCGGCTTCGTCGACTGGTTTCGTTCAGCTTCGATTACTGAATTCTGGGTAGTTGTGGTGAGTTGTAGACTGTCCTAGTGGTTTTATAGACTGCCTCGCTGGTTGTTGAACAGTCCCATGGTTTCTTCAATTGTCCCACTGGCTTGTGGACAGTCGTATAGCTTAAGGGTTGTCCCACTGGTTGGTGGGCAGTCCTATGGTTTGATCAATTGTCCCACTGGCTTGTGGACAATCGTCGTGGCTTAAGGACATAGTGGCTTATGGGTTGTCCCACTGGTTGGTGGGCAATCCTATGGTTTGTTCAATTGTCCCACTGGCTTGTGGACAATCATCGTGGCCTGTCCTGTGTCCTACTGGTTTGTGAACTGCCACAGTGGTTTGTTCGCTGTGCGACTGACTCGTGGACCTTCGTTGTGGCTGACTGTCTTTTCAAAATTTGTGTGGGCTATTTTACATCTGGTACTTGTTGCACCCATGGTTAAATGTATTAATTTGCTACTGCCACTGATCAACTGCTTTGCTGTAAAATATAGGCCTCATAAGCAAAAAAAAAAAAAACACAAAACATTGCAATAAATTTGTTCGATTATGCGGAAGTAGGTCATCGATAATTAGTTTTTCGTTCTGACCATGAATGGTAAGTCAAGCTTTTGTGGTTTCGTAGTGTATTTCATCATCTTTCCACTTTTCCTATACAGACCAACACCGATTCCTTAAAAAGCGGCAGCTACATCGCCGGGATCCTGAATCTAAGGTAACTTTGTTTCTTACTATTTCTTTGTTCATAATGTTTTGTTCCATTTAGGGGCTGCGTTACGAAGTGCTGATATCGGAGACGGCCCGTTTCGAGATGTGTCTTCCCCCTTGTGCCGTGGACTTCAAGGTGTTGGAGATTCCGATGACATGCGTTTATTATTGCATAAGGCCAAGAAGACCCTTAATATATATATAGTTTTCTGACAGTTTGTTTTATTGGTAAACCCTTAACTTAAAATTGATACAATATGTTTTCCTAAATTACCCAAAGTGTCTATAGGCTTATTCCTGCTAAATAGTTGAATATTTTTAGTTGTTTTACATCTACGGATCCGTGATGGTTTACTACAAAGTCTACTTAAAATTGGGACTGATTAACTTATAGTATAGTATAGGCATTCCCTAAACTTCTAATTCTACCTATCCCTATTGAAAATAAAAATATTCCTTTTATTTTATTTGAAAGGTAACTCGACTTATGCTTCAGGTTTCACGTTCGTCAACGAATTAACCTCGGCCAAAGTGTCGCGATTTACTTAAGGAGGTCTTCTATTGCAAGCTCTTTCACTCTAAGATTAGTTCCTTATTCGAAAAATTATATGTCTACCTATTTAAATCTATTTTTATACTATATGCTACAATTCTGAGGACTTTGCTCGTTTACGCGTTTGTTCTATACAACTTAAGGCCCTGCCTTAATCTTCCTTGATTTCTTCAATGTCGTCGATATTACTTATTTGTTCTTCCTCTGGATCCTCTAGTAAGTCTTCTAAAATTGGGCACTCTGCGGTCCAAGGGTCGTAGTAGGGTAACGTGAACTGTGTCCTTCTTTTTCCCTCCAACTTTTTGTGTTTCATAATCTATTTCTTTCACCTTTCTACTATACTATATGGCCCAAATCATTTCAATAATAACTTTTCACTTCGGCCCACTTTCCTTACTGGTATAAAAATTTCAACTTTGTCTCCTATATCAAATTGCAAATCCCTGTGTTTGCTATCAAACTCCACTTTGCCTTTTATGTATGTTTTATGCTGCTATGGCTCTTATACTCAAAGCTCTTTCTCTTAGGTGTAGCATATTCGTCACCATTGGCTTGTCCATAACGCATTCCACTTTTATTGGTTGCAGAGCACCTGGGACTTTTCTGTAGGGTTGTCCTTTCCATGCTTGACAGTCTACGCATCCTTTTATGTACTTTTCGATATCTTTCAACATCTCTACCCATTAGTATCTATTTCTACATTTATCAATTTATTTGGTTAGTTCTAGATGTCCTGCGGTTGGTGCCGCTTGCATTTCCCACAGAATCTCCCCTATTAGACTTTTTGGGATCAATAGTAAGTTTCTAATCTTTTGTTTGCATAACTAGTTTTGTATAAAGTATCATTAATTATCTTGAAATTTTTCGCTCTTTTTCTTGTTGTTATAGGGATATTCGTGTCATTTGGGATTTTATCGCTCTCATAATTTCTTCCACATCTTTGTCCTGTTTTTGTAAGTTACTAATTCAAGTGCTTTCTAGTGCAAATGTTTTTATTTGTTCTTCTTTGCTGATTGTGGTGAAGGTGGATATTTCGTCCATTTCCTTTTCCTCAGTTGGTGATAATGCGTTAAGTACTGGGCTCCTTGATAAACAGTCCGCATCGTTGTGTGCGCTAACCTTTTTGTAAATCACTTTGTAATCGTACTCTGATAGTTTAATGGTCCATCTTGCTAGTCTCCTATTATTTTCTTTTATGGAGTCCAACCGGCATAGTGCATGGTGGTCAGTTACTATCTCTACAGGACGTCCATATACTAGGTGCCTCAAGTATCCTAGACTCCAGACTGCTTCTAAAAGCTCTAACCCTGTGATTGCGTAATTTTGTTCTGCTTTTGACAGACTTCTGCTTATACTTTATTATTGGTATTTGGTATACTTTGATATTGGTAATTCGATACATTCCTTTGGAGATGTGATAGGGGATGAGGTAAGGAGTAAATTTAATCGTAACATGCTTTATGCAAAACTCAATGGTTTTTGAGATATTTCTGTTTTTCTTAAAAACATAGACCTAATGCTTTAATGGGAAAATTACTCAATGGGAAAATTTTGGATAAAATATCTACAGCCGATAAGAAATTATACCATATTTTTAAAAATTATTTTTCAAGAGATTTTATTTAAAATTTTCCTATGAAGGAAATGTTTCCAGATGTTTTTTATCACAAACATAAGACCATAGTGTTGGGCAAGTAATCCATTAGAAACCTTGAAGAAATGTACGATAGATTTTGTGCTTATCAATTTTTAAAGCATTAGGTCTATGTTTTTTAAGAAAAACAGAAATATCTCAAAAACTATTGAGTTTTGCATAAAACATTTACTCCTTACCTCATCCCCTATCAAATCTCCAAAGGAATGTATCGAATTACCAATAACCCTGTATCTGCAACTGGGTGAAAATTATTGTCTTCAATGTCTTCTCCTTTTAGCAGAATGACTGCCCCTATTCTCTTTATTAAATTAGTTTTTCTTTCAAGATGTTGAATGCCTCTTCTTGATCTGGCCCCCATTTAAAATTATTTTTTCTGGTGACTTCATGCAACGGTCTGGCGATCAAGGAGAAATCCCTTATAAATTTTCGATAGAAATTACAAAGTCCTAAAAAGCTTTGTACTTCCTTCAACTTCCTTGGTTTCGGAAACTCTTTAATGCCTTTTAGCTTTTCTTCATATGGTTTTAACCCGCTTCTATTTACTGTGAATCCCAACATTTTTATTTCTTCTTGGAGATATGTACACTTACTGGGTTTTAGGGTAAGGTTTGCTTCTCTTAGTCTCTGGAATACTTTTCTTAATTTTTGTATGTGTTCCTCTTCTGTTTTTGAGAAAACGATAATGTCATCTATATATTATATCCTATTCACAATCCGTAGTCCAAAGGTAAAGGTAAATTTATCACCTTTCCCTATCGAATAGCACTGAAAGGTTATAAATTTTACCTTTACCTTTGGACTTCGGATTGTGAATAGATAATACACTAATACTTCCTTCCATTTTAAATCCCAAAAGACCATATCCGAGAGTTCTTGAAACACAGACGGAGCATTACATAATCCGAATGGGAGGACGTTGAACTCGTACGAGCCATGGCCTTGTGCCACGAATGCCGTGTATTGTTTTGAAGTTTCCTCTACCGGTACTTGCCAGTATCCTGAGAACATGTCTAGGTACTAAAATATCTCGCCTCGCCCAGGTTACTTAATATGTCATCGATTTGAGGTAATGGATAATTTGTTTTCTTTGTCACATTATTAAGTTTTTTATAATCTATGAAAAATCTGGTAGATCCGTCTTTCTTGGTTACTAGCACCACTGGGCTTGTCCATTGGGAGTGATATGGCCTGATGATATCATGTTCTAACATTTCCTTTATTTGCTCGTCTATCTTTTCCCTTTCTACCTGTGATACTTTAATACTTTGTAAAGGCGCCTTTTTATTGGTCTGGTGTCTGTCTCTATTTCAATTCTGTACTTTGTTAAGTTTGGGTTAGTTGCCCATGTACTTTGGAGATTTTGCGAAGACATCATTGAACTCATTTAAAAGGTCTTGTAATGTTTTTTTGGTATTTTGGTCCTTTATGTTTACTAAGTTATGGTCTTCCATTGTAACTCTAGCTTTATTAACCTCTAGCATATTGCACGGTATTTTTGTATTCTTTTGATATTGTTCTTAAAAGACTGTTGTTGTTCCTCTGTCTATATTGGTTAGACGATTTGACTTGATTTTTATAAATAATGATTCCTCATTTATGTATATGTGTGACTCTATAGTTATTGCTCTTTTGGCTAGTACCTATGTCGGTATTATATTTGCAGCGATATTTTACGTTTTATCTTACATTTTTTGTAAGATATAGTTCTATGGTTCTTGATTCCTGGGCATTCCTAGTTTCAAGCTGCTTAGTTGCTCATCTATAGTTATGTTGCACATTATATTTTCTGGTTCTTGTATATTTTTCTCGTTTTTCTGTATCATGACTTTTATGTTGGTGTCTCTGAATATTTCTGTGATTATCTGTTTCATAGACCTCCAGGTTCTACTTTTTAGTCCCCATATTTTCTGTTGTATACAAATTGATTCTATGTTCTGTTCTAGTGCGTAGCTTTTTGTTTTTTGCCAGCATCTGTATAAGTTTCTTAATGTTGGGTTTTCTCTTATCTGCCTTTTACATTGGAAAAGAGCTATTTTGCCTCCCTGTGATTCTGCCGTTACTTGTCCTACTCTTCCTGGTAACCTTTTTAGATCCGGGAACATCCCATTTATTTGTTCGTTTAATCCTCTGGTTTCCATATGCCTGTTCACCTCCAAGACGTGTAGCGAATCTTAATTTTTTCCCGTTATTTCTTCTATCCTATTGTCGATTTCTTGTTGGTTTATTGTAGATAAATTGTACCTGAATCTTCCCAACTTGTTTCTTGGTCTGCTCTTCTTGTGTTCGTCTCGTTTTTGGTTTGAGTGATTTATGGCTATACCTGATGGTGTTTCCTTCTTGATTACTTCTGTTTGACTTAGTCTTAACGTCTTTTTTCTCTTTACCTTTATAGTGTTTCGGTTCAGATCTAGAGTAGCTTGGTTTGCTTTCAGAAAATCCATTCCAAGAATAATCGGGTACGGCACTGCATTGATTGTAGGTATTCATTTTGCATGTGTAGATTATCCGTGCTATCTGTATTGATGCCATTACTTTTCCTAGAACGGGTATTTTATGTCCCGCTGCTGTAACTACTATCACATTGGCGCTTTCTATCTTGCCTTTTCTTATCAAGTCGGCATTTATTATGTTATTTTGAGAACCGGTGTCTATTATGCGTTTAGGTGTCTTTGTCTACAAGTGGCCGGAAAATGGCCGTATTTACCGCAGTTGTAACATTCCTGGCTGTTTCTGGAATTTCTCGGAGGTTGACTGTTTTGCCTGAATTGACCTGTGTTATCTTGGTTTCTTTGGTATGAGTCGCTATTTGCTTGGTTATTTGGCTTATTACTTCGTGAAAAATTGTTTTGCGTTGCCCCCCTGCTCTGCCAGCCTTTTGAGTTTTTCGTATTTTGATTATTGTACCTGTTGTTTTGTTGCCTTGTTCCATATCCATTATTGTACTGAGCTGAAGAGTAATTTGTGTTCCTAGACCAATTCTGTTGTCTATAGCCCGGGTTAAAGGGTCCTCTTGGGTTAAACTTATTTCTCTCTCTTGAATCGTTGTAGGTGTTTTTAACAGAAGAGCTGGATTTTGGAGCTGTATCATTCGTTGCCGCGATTTTCTTCAACTCGTCTATTGTTGCGGGAGGTTTATTTGGTGTATTCGTGAGCCAGTAATAATTATAGTAATTATCCTCTGTCATGCGTTTGCCGAAGGTATCTAAAAATTCCTCCATATTCATCACTTTATTGTAGTTTGCGTAGAGTACTCTTAATTCATATAGATAGTTAACCACACTTTCTTCTCCCTTTTGTTTTCTATCTTCAAATTTTTTCCTCAGTTTTCCTTGATAGTCGACGTCTTCAAATTCTATTTTGAAGTCTCTGGTGATATCCTCCCAGCCGTTGTTCCCGTGTGCATCTTTCTACTCTTGGAACCATAATTTTGATGCTTCATCCAGAAATGTTTCGAAATATGCTGGCTGGCTGGCTGCTTGTATTTTCCCGTTTGGTGTTTATTTATCTAATGATTTTTTTTTGGACGAATTTGCGTCTTCGTCTTTGTTTTTCGGGATAACTTGTTTTGCTTCTACCACAGTTTCTTCTAGATTATCCTCAGTGTTGTCTCTGTGTTCTTCACTCAGATATTTTGAGTAGCTACTTATTCCTGGTCCTAAAATTTCCTCGTTTTCGCTCATCCGTAATTTGTCTTCTACTATTTTCTTGACTTGATGGCGAAATTTTCAAAAGTTGACAATCGGGGTTGTATTCTGTTGCTTTGGAAACGCTGTGTGTGTATGAGTTGAAGTGGGTCATCAGTTTATTGCTTGTTATGCATATTGGTGTTTTTGTTTTATCCACTGGCTATTTTAAATTTCGCAAGGAATGTTCAATTTGATTGTGATTACTTATGTTTTCCTCCTAATCTGTTTTCGTTAGTGGCCCTCTTGGCTTTTAGTCCTCTGGGGTTCTGGTATCGACTCTTTGGCTAGGTCATCAAGGTGGTTCAGCAAAGAGGGCACCTCCACCATGTATCATGCTTAGGTTGTTTGTGGTCAGCGGTGCTACCACTTTATCTACACTTGGCTGCGTCGGCTAAGGGTTTATCCTAAAAAGAGGTTGTATGGGGAACGGAAAGATTTTACCGCTAGTAGTTAATAAATACATCTATTGTTACACCTTAACCTTAATTTATGTAGGAGATAATTAAATAGGGATTACCAAAAATAGATTGCAGTAAATGTTCTTCCCTGGTGGGCGATCATTTAACATTCCCTTGGAATGCCTATTTTTAGGGAAAGCCCTACGCTGTCAATAGTACCCAAACAGCCTTATGAAAATGTTCCCTCGAGGAGCTTAGTTTCCATAGGTCTAGGTTTCGGGTGTTGAGTGGGCCTTCTACAGCATATTCACCTTAGGATCCCAGTCGTACTGTAGCAAGTCACACCCAACTTGGAGAGACAGTCTTAAGGCCTGTACCCTCGAGGAGCTTAAGCCTATGGAGACTAACCTCTGCCTGACTGCATTGCGGTGCGCGTAGTTTATACAAGAACTATTGCTACCGTCAGCAGAATCAGTTAATTTTCTGTAGTACGAGCACCAAATTCATTTTTTTTATAGTCTGTGGGCTTGTAGACATCTATGAGTTGAAAATACAGCTTCCTATGTATAGTTATTAAATAATCATACAGTTTTGTATATTTTCGTATGGTTCTCCATTCGTAGGACGATCGAGTATACGTCACTGGTATTTTCCTGTTCCTGACTAACCCCTCAACCTTTTCATGATTCTCTCAAAGCTTGTAGTATTTTGGTTGTATGTGATCGACACGGCATGGTGTTAGCGAATTATTAAAATATTTCAACTATTGCACTGCCGAATGTGTATGCTTGGACTAGAAGCAACGTGGATTTTCTCAAGCACTTTCAATCCCAACGCTTACAATAACGTAAGAGAAATGAGAAAGTCAGTTCAGTTTAGTATCCTTCGGCGGTAATCTGAAGCATCTCTTTGGTGGACATTAACCATCTTATGTTGAGTCGTACTGACGTGAATATAGTCACTCACAAGTCTTAACCTTCCGGCACTTGGATGATTATTGAAATAATTACATCTCAACAAATACGAATAATTCTCATGTTCAACACTGGGATATCTCACGGATGATGAGAATCTACATGTGACTTGATAGCTTACTAGAATATTGACAAAAATCGAAGATTTTGGAAAAAAAAAAACACTGGGTAAAGTAATGTTAATTTATGTAAAAAATATTTTAACTAGAACATAATTGACACGTGTAAGTAAAAAAAGCTTCTGAAATCAGTGCATCAATCTATTTTTATTCGAAGTTGCCTTTTCTAGTCTGTTAACCTTGCCTTCTATACTACCGTAAAACGATTCTTTCTATCTCATCCATTCAAACACTCAATTTCCAGTAAAAGATTTCAATTATTTTAATGCCGAAACGCTCACGCCTAGAACGGAAATTTGCTGGTGTAGATTTCATTCCGACCGAATTGTCTTTTTCCTTTATTACCTTTTGGATTTAATCATTCCGAAGAATAAAATCGGGAATTAAATCTACAATTTTATTACGAATTTATTTTCTAATAATTATTGTTACCCCAACGACTTAAACAATAACACACCTCAATTAAGTCACTCTTATTTCAGTCTGTTAATTTGACAAAAGACGTCTCCCCATTTTCCAGGCCCCAATCATAACGGTAATTAAATTTTCTACTTTCGACTAAACAGCCCTTCGGAGACTGCTTTTGTATTTGGGCCCGAACCCCTTCAAACCGAAAGGGTTTGAGTTATAGAGAGCATAGGTATCGTTCTGGTTGGGAATGTTCTGAATTATTAGAAGCTAATTAAATAATAGTGTTTATTGTGGTTAGTTTATGCATAAGATCCTGTTGTTTTCATTTATTTCAAGATTTATTTATTTTCATTAAGAGGGGCTACGGACCTATTTTATCGATCAAAATAAAAACAGGTGAGATGCGTATGTGCGTGGACTACCGAGCGTTGAATGCAAAAACGGTTAAGGACTTATTTCCGCTACCAAGAATACATGATCATCTTGAACGTTTAAGAGGGAGCAAGCACTTTACGTCACTTGATATGGCATCAGGCTACCACCGAATACCAATGGCTGCAGAGTCTAGATCAAAAACAGCATTCATTACGCCGGATAGGCATTATGAGTATACACGAATGCCATTTGGATTAGCAAATGCTCCAGCTATATTTCAGCGAATTAATAACATAGTTCTTGGATCATTAAGTTTTAATACAGCACTGGCCTACATGGATGACATCTTGATTTCGGCAGTTGAATTTGATTACGGATATAGAGCTTTATCAGAAAACTTAAAGAGTATTTAGTAACGCTGGACTTATACTACGCATGACTAAATGTTATTTTTCTCAACAAAACATTGATTATTTGGGACAATACATATCGGCAGAAGGTGTCAGACCAGGAAAATCGAAAATAACTGCAGTAGAGAAGCTTCCAGTTCCTAAAAATATCCATTAGGTGTGGCAGTTTTTAGAACTTGCCAGTTAGTTTCGGAAATTCGTCAAGCATTTCGCTCATATCGAAAGACCATTAACCACACTTACTAAAAAACCGGAACATTTTGTTGGAATGAAGATCAAGAAGATTCTCTGCGACAGCTCAAATCGATACTGTGTACTCGACCAATTTTAGCTATTTATGATCCAAATTTAGAGACTGAGTTATACACAGATGCATTGATATGGGGACTAGGATGCATATTGTTAAAGAAAAAACAAGATGGCAAATTGAAACCTGTGTTCTACTATAATCGTCAAACAAGCAAGGGAGAGTAGCGGTACCACTCCTACGAGACATTAGCCGTCGTTAATTGCATGCAGCCATTTCGTATTTACCTCGTAGGAATCCAGTTTCAAGTAATCACTGATTGTAGTTCATTTCGAAGCAAGGTCTGATACCAAGAATAGCTAGATGTTGGTTGAACACTTTAGAATTCAATTTCTCTGTTGAATATCGGCCTGGCTCTAGGATGGCACACGTAGATGCCCTAAGCAGACATCCGTTGATGAACCTGCTGATGTAAAAGGCTGATGTTCTGGCTATAAATATTACCGAGTCTGATTGGA